CATGTGTATTAAATAATCTATAATCAGAAAATGCTATTTAAAAATATTTCCCCTGGAAATTCATATTCCCCTATTTTAAATTTTATATAACATTTTAAATAAAAATTCAAGTCCTTTTTCGTATCACAAAGTAACTTTCTTGCCTTTTCTTTTTTCCATCACTGTTTATTTCTATGAATTCCTTTCCAACCTTACTTTCTTGCTCTGTGCTGCTGAAGGAGGTGGCTTACACATCTCCATTCAGTGGTGAACAAATCCTATGCCATGCCTCAACCAAACACTTTTATCTTTGTATTTTCTCTTTTTGTCACTATACTCAATGTTGAGCTTTGTTGATTTGTCTCCTTGCTGTTTATATCATTATCGTTGCCATTTTCCATCTCAGTGCCCCTTCCATTTTATTTGTTATTATTGATCTCATTCTTCTTTTCTTGTGAAATGTTTATCCTAAAACACATCTGCAAGCCATTCAGAGCTCTGCTTGGATACAGTTAAACATTTCATTGAATGTGAGCATTAACAATATATTTCTCTGGTATCTGTAGGTTTCTGTTTGTGGTTCCCTTGAAAGCAGGTGCCATACTTGGATGAGAAAATGTTGTCCAAAAGAGTCATGGACATAGGTCATAGTCTACTGAGACCAGCATCTATCTCTAAAGGTTGACTCCAGGGACACTTTGTGGATGAGTATGATTGTTGTCTTCTAAGGTATTTCAGAAGGTAGAAATGAATGTGAAACACACCTTAACTTTCCTTTTTAAACCATTTTGGAGATAACATTTGATAAAATGTGCAACCCTATTTGAAATTAGTTTATTCTGCCTCTATACATTCTCAGAATTATGGACTCCACATGTGAATAAAGTGGAATTTATTTTTCTGTCATTTAATTAATGTTTTCTACCATCAATGTAATGTTTATTATTTCCTTGAGTTCTGTGTTCCAGAATTTGATGGAGAGACAAACATCAGCTTGCCCTATCCTTGTTGACTCCAATTTTATAGACTTGGATTACTCCCTTTCACTTCTTTTAGGACAGAATAATTGTAAGCTATTTTCCTTGCCCTTTGAAGTGTCCTTCCCTGTACTTTTCTTAGTTCAAAAGGATTGCTTTGTTGAGCTTGTGACCATAACTTTGCATTTACTCCAGGCCACATACATGAGAACATCATCACATATTCTGTTTTGTTTTCTATATTCTTTTTTCTGATATTGCTGAACTGCAGTTTCATTTGCATCCATGCTCTGAGTTATAAGATGCTATGGTGTTAGGACAGAATCGTTAGACCTGCTAGGTGAGCTGTGTCCTTGGGGAGATGGGCTGCAGAGATAACCCAAAATAGCTGCCTATGCAGAAATCATCATTTTGGTGATGATTGTGTAGTGATTCCTGTATATATATATATATATTTTTTTTTTTCAGTTAATATATACACAGGATGATTTAACTGAGAAAACTCTAGTGACTGAAAAATTACCTTGGATTGCTTATGCACACATGAGCTGGTGGAAGGAAAGGATTATTAGGTGACAAGGTTGTTGGCTGAGAGGAAAAACCAGTCTGGGATTAAATTATTGCTGCAGGTAATCCTCAAAATGACAGATGAATGGATAAAGAAGATGTGGTATATATACACAATGGAATGTTAGCCTTAAAAAGAATAATGCCAGTTGCAGCAACATGGATGGACCTAGAGATTATCATATTAAGTGAAGTAAGTTAGAGAAAGACAAATATCATATGATATCATTTATATGTGGAATCTAAAATATGACACAAATGAACTTATTTACGAAACAGAAAGACTCACAGACATAGAAAACAAACTTATGGTTACCAAAGGGGGTAGTGGCAGGAGGGGGCGGGGAGATAAATTAGGAGTTTGGGATTAACATATACACACTACTATACATAAAATAGTTAAACAATAAGGACCTACACTATAGCACAGGGAACTATATTCAATATATTGTAATAGCCTATAATAGAAAAGAATATGAAAAATAGTATATATGTATAACTGAATCACTTTGCTGTATGCTTGAAACTAACACAACATTGTAAATTATACTTCAATAAAAAATGGAATTAATCCATGTAAATTAATCTAACATGTCTAATCAGCTTTGGGGATAGCTCTGTTGTTCCTGGTTTTTGAAAAGGATAGTAGAGAAGTAATTAAAAAGGAAAATTGTTTCTCTGGGAGAAAGAAAAAGGGCTTGAGTTTGGTTATATTTCCTCTCTCTCTTCCTTCCTTTCTTTTTCACTTGGCTGTACCTTCTAAGCTTCCACTAGGGCTCTGCCATAGCCCTTACGCCTCTTACCTCAGGGCACCTTATTAGTGGTGTGTACGTATTTCTGTCTACTCATTGGTCTGTAAGCAACTGGAAAAAAATCTACATCTCATTTATATCCTAGGAGGTCACATTGGCTCATATTGTGCCTTACATATAATTGATCCTCAGTGAAGGTAAAGACATATTTTATGCTTAATTAAGAATGACTTCATAACTTTAACAATATGAAGTATTATCATGTGAAACGTGTTAACTGTGCTCTGGGAAACAAGCTTCCATTTGAGAAATAGAAGGGGTTTTAAGACAAAAGATAAAAACATTTTCTAGACTGTAAGGGTAATCAAATACTGGAATAGCTGATCAGAGAAGGAGGTGAAATCTCCATCCCCAGGGATTTTAAATGATGGGGCAGAGAAGACATCCATGCGAATGACTGAAGCATTAGACCTGTCTTGAGGCAAATAGATGGACAGAATGACAGATGGTCCTGTGATTCTTTGATTACTTGGCCTGGAGAAGAGAAGATGGAGGGAAGACATTAAAACTACTTCAAATATGGAAAACAGCTCTTATTGCTTCCCTTGGGAGAGCAAGTCGAAGGAGCTTAACCTAAAGTCTTAGAAATTTGGGTTACATTTTATAGTTAAGGGTTTTAAGACATAGGTTGTGAAAATACTGTGGACACCTTCAGAGTAAAAGATTGATTGGCGTGAGATGTGGAGTCAGCTCTATGATCCTGTTACAGTAAAAAATATTTTTTTATGTTACTCTGAATAGAGAGAATCATTCCAATACATTATTTCAGCGTATAACATTCTTTTGGGAAAGGCAAACTTCTAAAAGGAGTATTTTCAAGCACCAAGCATCATCACTGTTTCAGGGCTAGGAGGAGAGAGCAGAGATAATAGGTAGGAAATCCTTCCCATCTAAGTACTTGTACGAGGCTGTGTTATTTTTTATTTATTTTTTCCCCAACACTGGCTTATTTTTTTTCAAGCCAACTCTCTTTTATTTATTTATTTTTAATTTTTTTTATTTTTTAACATCTTTATTGGAGTATAATTGCTTTACAATGGTGTGTCAGTTTCTGCTTTATAACAAAGTGAATCAGTTATACATATACATATGTCCCCATATCTCTTCCCTCTTGCATCTCCCTCCCTCCCACCCTCCCTATCCCACCCCTCTAGGTGGTCACAAAGCACGGAGCTGATCTCTCTGTGCTATGCGATTGTTTCCCACTAGCTATCTATTTTACGTTTGGTAGTGTATATATGTCCATGCCACTCTCTCACTTTGTCCCAGCTTCCCCTTCCCCCTCCCCATATCCTCAAGTCCATTCTCTAGTAGGTCTGCATCTTTATTCCCGTCTTGCCCCTAGGTTCTTCTGACCATTTTCTTTCTTTTTTTTTTTCTTTTAGATTCCATGTATATGTGTTAGCATACGGTATTTGTTTTCCTCTTTCTGACTTACTTCACTCTGTATGACAGTCTCTAGGTCCATCCACGTCCCTACAAATAACTCAGTTTTGTTCCTTTTTATGGCTGAGTAATATTCCATTGTATATATGTGCCAAATCTTCTTTATCCATTCATCTGTCGATGGACACTTAGGTTGCTTCCATGTCCTGGCTATTGTAAATAGAGCTGCAATGAACATTGTGGTACATGACTCTTTTTGAATGATGGTTTTCTCAGCCTATATGCCCAGTAGCGGGATTGCTGGGTTGTATGGTAGTTCTATTTTTAGTTTTTTAAGGAACCTCCATACTGTTCTCCATAGTGGCTGTATCAATTTACATTCCCACCAACAGTGCAAGAGGGTTCCCTTTTCTCCACACCCTCTCCAGCATTTATTGTTTCTAGATTTTTTTGATGATGGCCGTTCTGACCGGTGTGAGATGATATCTCATTGTAGTTTTGATTTGCATTTCTCTAACGATTAATGATGTTGAGCATTCTTTGATGTGTTTGTTGGCAATCTGTATATCTTCTTTGGGGAAATGTCTATTTAGATCTTCTGCCCATTTTTGGGTTTGTTTGTTTGTTTTCTTGATATTGAGCTGCATGAGTTGCTTGTATGTTTTGGAGATTAATCCTTTGTCAGTTGCTTCATTTGCAAATATCTTCTCCCATTCTGAGGGTTTCTTTTCATCTTGTTTATGGTTTCCTTTGCTGTGCAAAAGCTTGTAAGTTTCATTAGGTCCCATTTGTTTATTTTTGTTTTTATTTCCATTTCTGTAGGAGGTGGGTCAAAAAGGATTTTGCTGTGATATATGTCATAGAGTGTTCTGCCTATGTTTTCCTCTAAGAGTTTGATGGTGTCTGGCCTTACATTTAGGTCTTTAATCCATTTTGAGTTTATTTTTGTGTATGGTGTTAGGGAGTGTTCTGATTTCATTCTTTTACATGTAGCTGTCCAGTTTTCCCAAGCACTGTGTTATTAACTCAGTAGCCAGGGGGTGAGGAGAGGCTGGGAAATAGCCCTGCTCTTCTGGGTCAGCCTTGTTTTGGTCACTGAACCTTTTCCCAATGAAAATATAGAAGAATTGGGGGCTAGAAAAATCTTGTCAATACAAGGGGAACCAGAATACCTATGAAAAATAATCTTCATTAGGCATTTGACTGTAATTTCAACATTCAGCCACACGATGTCACAATTGGATTTTGATTCTCACTGTGTATTTGTCTCAAATAATAGATGAAGGCGTTTTCAAAGCTGGAGAGGAAAGATCAGAAACGCGGGGGGCTGCAGAAGTCCAAGAAGATGAATATACTCAAGTTGAGATTCCAGTTGACCAGGTAATCTCCATGCCTTAAAAATATGGGTAAACCAAATACTATTTTTCTTTCAAGTTTACCTGCCCTGTGCTGTGCCCTGCCCTGTGTTACCTGCCCTGTGCTGTTCTTATGCAGATGCGAGTTAAATGCTCTCAGGTGCTAGTTATGTGGCTGAACGACCTTAAAAATAAAACAAAACACCTTCAGTTCTTCCTCGTATTCCCACAAAGAGGAGCCATTTGGACAGTCTTTATTGTTACAGACAATGGTATATCTTTAATAAACAGCATTGAAGAATGAGGTGGGCTGGAGTTAGGTATGAGAAACAGAGGGCTAAAGTTTGATACAAAAAAGAGTATTGGCTTGGGCGTTTTTAATCTAGAAAAAAGTCCTCCATTTAGAAAAGCAGTTTAAAAGTGCCATTATTTTTCTCTCCTTTAGGGTCCTTGAAATGGCGATGGTTGGAATTTGTTTTTTGTAAAGGAATTGCTTATATAAATGCAGCTCAAATATTTGCTAAGTGTGTATTGATTTTCTTTTTAGGCCAATGGGACACTGTACTTTTAGGAGTGTGGTGTGTACACACATGTGCTTATAGAAGGAACTAAGTAGTGTTCATTCTGGCTAAATGGTACAAGAAATAAAAGTTGTTTAGGCTTTTTAATAGAATTCAATCAAGTTTCTTACAATTCTAAGTGGAGGATTGGAATTTAGGTGAGGAGGGGGAATTCATAATCCCAGGCTCAAGGGAATACAAAGTCACCAGGAATTGCCACTTGTTTCCTGACTATTATGTGATATTTCCTTTTCAAAGAGGAAATCTCACAATCCAGCAAATTCCATAGTTGATGTTCTCAGCTGTATTTGTCTTAACATTGCAGCAGTGAAATTGCTGCCTGATTATTCCACAGGCATTTTCTGTAAGCATCACCTTCCTGATGAAAAGCTTAATGTGTTAAAAATCACAGATTTCAAAAATCCAAGTTATTATCCAGGATTAGCTGCAACTAACAATTTTTCATAAGCTCCAGTTATAGGTATTTTTTTTCCCCTGAGGGATATTGGAATTTTAAGTCTTCGGTGAAGCTATCATTAAATATTATATTTTAAGACAAGAGAAATCATCACGTATGTACAACACCTAATAGCAGCAGAAAGAAACCAAGACTAATTTATATTCCAAAGTCAAAAATACCAACTATCAAGAGAAAGTCATAGCATCATTACCATAAAGGAGATCTCTTTGTTAATCACTTAGTTTTGAAATCTGTGATCAGTATTTCTTTACTTGTGAGTTTCATGATCACCAGGAAGGGGAGGGCATGAGAGGAATTGATCTCTGATGATACTTGAACAGCCATCCAGAGTGTCTGCAGAGCTTGATTTCTTATTTGATACAAGAGTGCTAGGTTATTAAAATACAAGTATGCAGGAGAGACAGATTAAACAGATTGGTAGGGCTTCCCTGGTGGCGCAGTAGTTGAGGGTCCGCCTGCCGTTGCAGGGGACGCAGGTTCGGGCCCCGGTCTGGGAGGATCCCACATGCTGCGGAGCGGCTGGGCCCGTGAGCCATGGCCGCTGAACCTGTGCGTCCGGAGCCTGTGCTCCACAACGGGAGAGGCCACAAAAGTGAGAGGCCTGCGTACCGAAAAAAACAAAACAAAACAAAACAAAAACCACATTGGAGAAAGCTGGGCAATATCAACAAATTGAGGTCAGTTTGAAGAAAAGAAAACCAGGTAACAAAAGGTCAGAATTGCTTTCTTCTTTGACCCTATTAGTAATAGAGTTAGGATTGTTTAGCTCATGGGGTTGGCATGAGATGCTTATGAAGTCAGGTCTTAGAGTCATTCTCTCTGTGGCCTGGTGGTCTTTTGCTCCATATCCTAAGCAGCTATGTTATAAATATTGTGAAAAACCAAGTGAGAGTGTGGAGAAATTAGTGTAAAGCTCCATTATAGTTAAGAACCAATCTGAGGACCTGTAATAGTAGCAATAACTACTCTATATTCAGCACCTACTGAGTGCCAGGCACTGTACTAGGCACTTTCTCATATAATTGTTATGACAACCCTGTAAGATAGGTCTTATCACCTTCACTTTATGTATGGAAATAAAGTGAGCTCCTATAGGTGGAATTACATGTCCAGGTTTGTACTGTTAAGTAGAGGAATTGGGATTTGAATGCAGGTCTGTCTAACTTCAAAGCACAGGAGTGATCTGGGGAAGAGTATTAAATGCACTCCTCTCCCACAAAAGCCAATTATTAACCCAAGGAGGGGAAAAATTCCTGCCTAAGAAAAGAACTGTCTATTATATACTACTTGGCTCAGCTGTAAATGATACATACATTTCCTTTCGGGCCATACCTACTTAACTTCTTTGAACTTGTTTCCTATCATCTAAATGGTTCATGTTGTAACTTTAGTCAAAGTACCACAAAGAAGGGTGTGTGTGCGTGTAATATCATGTGCAAATTGGCCAAGTACTTTATCTATGCCTGAAAAGCAGATCAAGTTTCAGAAGTAAATATTAAGGCCTCTGTTGAGAGGCAGTTCTCCATGGATCTCTTGTGTTTTGCATGTTTTGTGAGTAGAGGCACAGATTGCCTTTGTTCTGGACTGTTTTTTCAAGGATGTTTGTGTAGTGAACAGCCTCAAAAGACAGAGATAGTGACTTCCTCTGGAGCAGTCATTCTCAGCTGGAGGTGATTTGCCTCCAAGGGGATATTTGGCAATTTCTGGAGACATTTTTCATCATTATAAGTGAAGGAGTGCTACTGACATCTAGTGGGTAGTGGCCAGGGAATCTGCTAAATATCTTGTAATGCACACGACTGTCCTCACAGCAAAAAATTATCCGGTGCAAAATGTCAATAGTGCTGAGACTGAGAAATCCTGGTGTGGAGCAAAGGCTAGGTTTGTTGATGGTCCAGTATAATAAAGATAATGTCTCCCTATAGTGCAAAGGTCAGGCACATTTACTATCCATTATAAAAGATGTGCCATTGAATTGTATACTTAAAACGAGTTAAAATGGTAAAATTTTTTGCTGTGTTTATTTTATCACAATGAAAATATTTGGAGAAAAAAGATTTGGGTTCTCTAAGCATGGGGTCCTTCCCCTGTAATGTAAGCCACCATGTGTATCACCCCCTTCTCATTGCCCTGTGGAAATGGGGCCTCAGGGAGTGGGTGCAAATGCTGATCCTCTGGCTATTGCTATTGCTGTGAGTAATAAAGTCCTTTGTCTCTGACCCAGTAGTCTCTTGTCTTCTGCCAGCGTCCATGAAGAGATGGCAGGCTAATGTGTTAGCTTGTTAAGTATGGAAAAATTTCAGATCTTCCTTAGTCTTTCATAGCCTCTACTGATCCCATCTGGCATTGTGTTTATGTGTTTAAGTGTGTGTAATGGGGCACTGTGGACTAATTTCAGCTAAAAACATGTTTGAACTCTGTCCCAAGGTCTAGACTCTTAATTTTTTAGAGACAAATTAATGATCCTGGATCTAATACTATGTCCAAACCCATGGGAAACTGAAGAATGTCACATTCTTTTATAGGTTTGGGGAGGCCAGAACAAATACCTTTTCTCAGGGGAGAGTTTAGGTCTCATAAGAATAAAGTACTCTTTTAAAAATTAATCTTTTTGCATACACATTCTAAATCAATCTGGTTTCCCATAAGCAGTGAAGCAAGTGCCTGATTAACCAATATCTGTGGCTATACCTGGCACCAATGACTTATGTGTCGTTATGTTCCATTTATAAACTGATGCTTTTCCAAGCTAAGGAGGCAAGAAATGAGACCGTTCCATTATAGTTAAGTAAACTGCCTCTAGTAAGTAAAGATCAGGCAGGAGAAGCCACCATCTCAAAGACACAGGCAAACGCATACCTATAAAATAGGCAAAGAAGCAATTATATTTTGGATTTTGTTCCATTTGAGAGAAGAGAGCAGAAGATGTGGATTGTAACTTCAGCGTGGTTTTTGATTGTTTTATAGCTTTTTCCATCCATCTGTAGTTGATTTTGAGTAGTAATAAAATGAGAATTGCAAGATGTTTTTATGCTAAGTAGTTTCATTAAATAACATTTAAACCAGCATCATGAGCACAGGAGGAGTGAAAGCTTTCTTTTTTGTTTTTAAATTGGAGGTTGTGATATGTATTATTTTCTTATTTGTTGATTGATTTAAAACGTAATAAATCCTTAATAACAAAGTTACACATGTACTCCTTTTAAAAGTCAACCAATCCAATAAAAATTATGACAAAAATAGCAACCACTTGCCCCAGCTTTCCCCACCTGGATTCTTCCTGCTCTACAGACCTAACCAATTTGAGCTATTAGCTGTTTCTCATGGAATAGAGAAATATTCTTGTGTAATATTTTTTCCTCCTCCCTATTTTAGTAATTGCCTATGTTTTTTTCATTTGCTTAGTTTTCTAAGTTTTCATTTGATTAGTTTTCTATTCTATGTAGACATTACCAAGCCATCTCCAAACTCTGCCAGAACTGTTGATCTCCTGATGTACTCAGATGTACACAGTGATAATAAATCTCAATTTCATCTTTTTCTCAAGCCTTTCGATCATCTGCCTCAGGCTGGTTAGTTGTTCTTTGGATCTACTTTTCAGAGTCATCCTGGTATTTTTCTTCACCATTATTTTGGGAATTTCTTTTGCTTCTCCCGTGGATGGATTCCCTGTTTCCTGGGATCTACATCTTCCTCTTTCTTGGTTATACCTTCGTTGTTTTTGTGGAGCTCACCTCTAGCAGCTGCCTCAGAAAAGCTTCATGGGAGGAACTTTTATTTTTTGAGACTCTGCATGTCTGAAAATGTCTTTTTTTTTTCCTCTCTCTAGCAAACTTGACTGTAAGCATGACTAGATATAAAATTCTAGGTTAGATATAATTTCTCTCAGAATTCTGAATGTGTTGCTCAGTTGGCCTTCCCATCCAGATTTGCAGTTGGGACGTTTGATGTCGTTCTGTTTCCTGATCCTTTGTAAATAATCCT